TGATCTTCTTTCTCTCTCTCGTTCCTCCTCTGTCCCCTCGCCGATCTCGGTCCCCCACCATCATCCCTCTGTCTGTCCGTCCATTCCTTCCTGGGCGCGAGAGAAATTCCTTTGACATATTGGTTGGGTGGGTTCTGTTGTCATTCAGTCGAGGTTGGGTTCCGATCCGCCACTTCCTCCTCCTCCTCCCCCCTGCTGCCCGGCCGCCAGGCCCCACCCTCCCCACTCAGATGAAATACTCCTTCTTGTCATCCCCACCAGTTTGACCGCCCTCGGCATTGATAATGGCTGTGTCTGCGTCTGGGGCGTCGTCCGAGCCTTTGGCCTCGTGGGTCAGGTAGGTACCTGCATAGGGACACAGAAAAAGAGAGGAAGCTACCAAATTGGGTCATTTGGCTTGGAGCAACAGTGGAGCTTATTTAGGATGGCTAAGAAAAGTGGGAAGGGTCTGTACCACCACAAGGGAACATGGGACTTGCATGGTTCACCCAACCACACCTCCAAAAGACATGGCTTACGTGCAGAAGATCAGAGGTTCCGCACCATGGGCATAGTCGGGGCAGCAACTGCCCCCCTAAATCAAGTAAGTAAATAAAAAATACTTAACCAAAAGTATTTGGTTAAGTACTTGGGATGCGGGTGGCGCTGTGGGTTAAACCACAGAGCCTAGGACTTGCCGATCAGAAGGTCGCCGGTTTGAATCCCTGTGATGGGGTGAGCTCCCGTTGCTCAGTCCCTGCTCCTGCCAACCTAGCAGTTCGAAAGCATATCAAAGTGCAAGTAGATAAATAGGTACCACTCCGGCGGGAAGGTACACTGCTCTGGTTCGCCAGAAGCAGCTTAGTCATGCTGGCCACATGACCTGGAAGCTGTATGCCGGCTCCCTCGGCCAATAAAGCGAGATGAGCGCCGCAACCCCAGAGTCGGTCACGACTGGACCTAACGGTCAGGCGTCCCTTTACCTTTACCTAACCAAAATTACAAATGATCACAATATTTGAAATGGAAATGCTCGCTAAGGTCACTCTGATGATGTTGTGGCGCATTCTAGTGACCTGACAGAGCGATGGGCGTGGCTTCAACGAACTGACCAATCGCGTCAGGTAGCTCGGTTCTGGAACAGGACAGGTCGGTGTCTTGCTGCCCCAACATAAATCCTGGCTACGCCCACATTCAACACCCCCTTTCCCAATAACTCCAGCTAGAGTTGGAGCCCAAGGGCCACGTTTCCTTCTGGAGAACTCTTTGAGGGCCATATGCAACTGGTGGGCGGGGCCAGAGGCCAAAGCAGGCAGAGCAACGAATGCAATTGTACTGTAGGTTAGTTTCCGCACAAACAAACACACCTCTCTATCGCCTATCCAGGCCAGCATTTCAGACATTTCCAAAAGCCCTCAAGGAAGGTGTGAAGCAGGGCTGGCGAGGGGAGCAGCCTGAGCAGAGTGTGGATGCAGCTGGAGAAGGGTATGTGGAGCCCCAAGGGCCAGATAAGCGATGCCTGGAGGGCCGCATTCAACCCTTGCGGTCTACCCAGCCCCGGTTTGCAAGACGCAGAAAACATTTGTGCAGGTTTGAGTTGAAGCCTACCTTTGTGCCGGATCAGGTAGTGACCCAGAACAATGAGGAGGATAAGGAGCAGGAAGACAATGACAGCCACTATTCCCCCAATGATGGCGTGGTACGTGCTCCCACTGTGGGTCATGGGGCTTGCATCTATCCAGAGGGAAAGCAGAAAAGGGAAAGGAGAAAAAGTTGGCTGAGAAAAAGTTAGCTGAGAAGTGGCCAAGAAAATCCACACGTCTCACTGACTGGCTTTTCCTTCCAAGCACCCAAACCAGAGCAGTCGAGGCAGAAGCAGGCGAGGGATGAGGCCCGGAGGAAGAAAGAAAGCAGAATATACAGAGGGGAAGATGAAATACTCCCCATGCTGGCCACAGTAAAATTCCCTGTCCTCCATACCTTCATTACAGTGGTACCTCGGGTTAAGAACTTAATTCGTTCTGGAGGTCTGTTCTTAACCTGAAACTGTTCTTAATCTGAAGCACCACTTTAGCTAATGGGGCTTCCTGCTGCTGCAGCGCCACCAGAGCACGATTTCTGTTCTCATCCTGAAGCAATGTTCTTAACCTGAGGTAATATTTCTGGGTTAGCGGAGTTTGTAACCTGAAGTGTATGTAACCTGAAGCGTATGTAACCCGAGGTACCACTGTACATAGTTTCCGTCTGATGCTGAAGACACACTTCTTTACTCTAACACAGGGGTCAGCAACCTTTTTCAGCCGTGGGCCGGTCCACCATCCCTCAGACCATGGGGGGGGGGGCGGACCATATTTTGAAAAAAAAAAGAACAAATTCCTATGCCCCACAAATAACCCAGAGATGCATTTTAAATAAAATGACACATTCTACTCATGTAAAAACACGCTGATTCCCAGACAGTCCGTGGGCCGGATTGAGAAGGCGATTGGGCTGCATCCGGCCCACGGGCCTTAGGTTGCCTACCCCTGCTCTAACACCAGAGATAGAGGATTGCATCCGGTAACTTTTGTGGGGGTTAAAAAATAAGACACCAATGCAATGTAATCAGTATCAGTGTGGTGTAGTGGTTTAGAGCATAGGACTAGGACTTGGGAGAGAAGGGTTCGAATCTCCACTCAGCCATGAACGTCACATATAACCTTGAAGCTTTTGAATGGTTTTGGTTTGACGTTCCTAATGTTTTCTCTCTTATGTATCATTACCATGTTGAAGGGCAACTGAAAGCTGTAGCTGAATAATAGGCCCCACATAGCAATAGGTCTCTGTTTTCTCCCAAGTACATGAAAACAGGAGGCTCTGCCATAATGCTTTGTTTGTGGTGGACTTGTACTTAAAGAACGTGAGGTCTGGAGGGTGGCAACATGAGAAGGGGCCTTTTCTGTAGTGGCTCCCCATTTGTGGAATTCTCTCCTCTGGGAGGCTCACCAGGCACCTCCATTATATATTTTTAGGCGCCAGGTGAAAATATTCCTCTTCAACCAGGCCTTTGGCTGATTAATATCCCACAGCCTTTTAAATGTGTCTATGGGAGCAGGGGAGTATTTTTGGTTGTTGTTTTTGCTTTAATTCTTTATCTTGTATTTTATTCTGTGAAGTGCCCTGAGATCTTGTGACGAAGGGTCGTATACAAATTTAATTTATATATATATATACACACACACACACAAATATATAACCAAAAATAGTTTGTGATATTTCTATAGCAAGCAGCATATAAATCCCCTAAAATAATTCTGATTTAAAAAATGACGTGTGATATTTCTGTAGTAGCCAGTAGTATATAAATTGCCTAAATAAAGTAGTAGTAGTAACAATGATAAGTAAGTAAATAACTATGACTATTTCTGCAGCAGCCGAGCATCCTGCAGGAGAGAGCAATAAAGTGACCCAAGTATTAGCAAAGCCATTCTTATTCCTGAATCTGGAAAACCAGCCATGCAAGATATGGATGCAAGATAGGCCAGGCCATGGACCCAAATATAAGACAGCTAAATCCTCGGCTGAGATGCCTCAGCAGGTGGCTCCCTGGTGGCTCCCCCCCCCCCGCTCCTGCCAATCAAGTGCCCATCCAGAACCCATGGGGGGATTATTTGGGAATGAAGATGCTCACTCAACACAGCAGCCTGAGTGAAGGGGTTAAGTGGTTGCTATGGCGACATAATCGGTGGACCTTTAAAGGTGGAGGACTAGCTGTGGGGTGAGCAGACGAGGTGCCGGCAAGGCAGAGAAAGTACATTTGACTCCAGCATATGGGGGACAGCACGGTATGGTGCTTCCATGCGTTCAAAGCACTTTGCACGTGCTATCCCAGAATCATAGAATTGCAGAGAGTTGGAAGGGACCCTGAGCGTCATCTAGCCCAGCTTCCTGCAACGTGGAAATCATGCCATCTTCCTTACAACAAGGTGGGTTGACATTGTGATCCCCACCCATAACGCAGATGGGGAGACTGAGTCCAAAGGGCTGCAGCTTGCCTTAAGCTACCACGTCAGGATTTGAACCAGGGACTTCCTGATTCTTAGCGCAGCCATCTAGCCACCATGCTACACCAGGGCTGGGGCTGCTAAGAAGTCTGCAATCAGTTCAGAGTCTGATAGTGCAGGAATCGTTTAGGGAGAAAAATCACACACACACACACACACACACACACACACACACACTTCAGAGAGCACTTGATTGATGCGTCCTCAGAGCACAACTGCCTTTGGCCTCCTTCCTGATGCCACACTCTCAAGCGGTTACTGTCGCATGCAGCGAAATTGGTCGAGGCACTAAACACACATGCCAGATGCGCAAATCCCTTTGCTCCAAAAAAGAAAAAGTCTTGTCTCATATTCCCCCCATCAATACTGCATTTCAAGAGACTTTTTATGTATCCCACCTTCCTCCGAGGAATCAGGCTTTCCTGCCTTTTAAGCAAGCTGACAAACAGATTCAACTGTTGCGGTTTTGTTATTTTATTAGGTACTTTTGCATTGTTCCAGATTAATTTTTAATGGCCGTTGCATTGTTTCCAATGAATTTTTAATGAAGCTTATTTCGAGATTATATAATGTCAAATCATATGTGTATGTGTGTACACACACACACACACGAGATGCAACACACCCATGCTTTATTTTTATCTTATCATGGTATGCTCTATTCATATGGTGTGCACAAGATAAGACAGCAAGGGAATTGAGATTAACATTTTCGTTTGATTCCCTTCGAATTCAACATGTTGGCAATTACTGTGGTATTTTCTTTTCAAAATATGTAGAAGTAGTTGTTAGACCTCAAGAATATTCGTGCTCCATGCTTGCATTAATGTTGCATAATACTTCTCCCCACCCCCAGTATCCCCCTCTCTCTAATTTTGCCTTCTGCAAATGTTTCATTTTCTTATAGTTTTAAAAGTTCGGTAAAAATATATATGGACCCCCTGACACATAGGCAGTGTTATAAACTCAGATATATAAGCTAGGCTCACTTGGTAGAGCATGAGGCTCTTAATCTCAAGGTCGTGGGTTCAAGCCCCATGTTGGGCGAAAGGTTCCTGCATTGCAGGGGGTTGGACTAGATGACCCTCATGGTCCCAACCCTACAATTCTATGATTTAACGCTGTTTCCCATTCTAGGCTGAGAAGAAAAGAGTATTATTACAAAAATATAAGAAGAGCCTCCTGAGACCATGAGACCTGTTCCCACCCTGGCCAGCAATCCTGGGAAACACAAAGAATGTAGTCCTCCGACCAGCAGAGGGTGCCGTGAAACAATGCTCACCATGAACATTCAGGTTGTATATTGCCGTGGAGATGCCCATAATGCTTGAGGCATAGCAGATGTAGGTCCCGCTGTCGCTTTTGTTCAAACTGTCGAAGACGAGGATGTTGTCTTGGGCCTCGGCTAGGGGCGCCTGAGCTCCCTGCTTCTCCCACTTGTATTCCTGAGGGCTGTGAGGGAGGGAAGAGAGTTGGTGAGAGTCAGCAGAGCTTGAGATCAGAGGGATTGCACATCGCCCTTCAATGATCTGGAGGCCCCGGTCTATTGGGGGATACAAAGCTGTTCTAGGCACACGGTGAAACAGCAAGGCCTCGTCTTCTTGCCTTGGTCTGGCTGGGACCAACTGGTGCCCAGCAGTGGAGGCGGGCCCATTCGGGCAGAGGGGACACTGCCCCACCAACCACAGTTTGCTCTCCACCTGTCTGCGTTCCTGCTTCCAACAAATCAGGAGATGGCGCAGCCTGCCAGGTTCCTCCCCCTCAGTTTCCAGGTTGCTCTTGAAAAACTCAGCAGGGAGGAAGAGGATGGAGACAAAACAGTCTAGTTGGTGCTGCCTGCCATTGGCTCTGGCTCTACCAATCCCAATGGGCTCCAGAAAAGGACCTTTTTTGGAAATAGCTCCCCCAGTGTGGGATGCCCCTTTGAAACAGCCTCACTAGGTAGCCTCATTTTGTTCTTCTCAGTGCCACCTTAGGCGTCTTGAGATAATTTAAACATTGCTGGTGTTTTCAGCTCTCCCTGGTGGCTTCCGTTCAGTTATCTAGTTTTGTGCTGGAGTCGTTTTTCATGATTTTATTTTAGAGCTTCTCGTTTGCTTTTTAGTAATTTTTTGAATCATTAAAAAGATCAAAAGGACATTGTTAATGGGGTGGTATACACAGGATAAGACAATTTAGAGAGCAAGTGTGGTGCAAAAGCTGGAGTGGCCCTGTGAGACCAGGGTTCGAATCCCCTACTCAGCCATGGAGCTCACTGGGTGAGCCTGGGCCAGTTACTGCCTCTTGGGCCAACCTACCTCACAAGGTTGTTGTGGGGATTAAAAGAGGAGAGAGAGAGAACCATTGACGCCACTTTGAGCTGCTCAGACAAAAAGGTGGGATATAAAATTCCATAAATAAATAAATTTAACTGATTGTTTAATGACCAGTAAGCAGAGCACATTTGACCCTGATGTAAACCACCTAGGAGGTGGGCCGGAATAACGTGATCAAGTGAAGAGCAGGGGCTAGTATTCATTGGGACTGGTATGACCAAGAGGTCAACAGTAGGCGGAGCCAGAGCCAAGGAGAGGCGGAGCCAACTCACCTTGGTTTTGCCCCTATAATCCTTTTCCCTTGCTGAGTCATATCCTCCAACATTTCTCTGATGAAAATAGGGATGTCCTATTCAACAATAATTATAATTATACCCCACCCACCTGACTGGGTTGCCCCAGCCACTCTGGGCGGCTTCCAACATATAGGAAAACATAATAAGACATTAAACAAACCTCCCTATACAGGGTTGCCTTCAAATGTCTTCTGAAGGTTGTATAGTTATCTCCTTGGCTCCTTGGTTGCATACCTGCCAACTTTTCTCTGATGAAAATAGGGACATCCTAAGGAGAAGTGGGACATTCCGGGATCAAATCAGAAGCTTCTGTAAATCCGGGACTGTCCCTGGAAAATAGGGACACCTGGAGGGTCTGCGGAGTTCTATAAAAGCAGACTAAGAAGGAGGAAGCTGGCTGGCAAAGCCACCCCCTGGACTGGATGTGAGTAAACAGGCGGGCAGGTGTGGGCTGGCTCAGAGCAGACTGAGGTTGGTGGGGCATTGGCACACAGGCCCTGATGGACCAACCTTCACTGCACACGAGGTTCTTTGCCGTTTACGCATCAGAGGAGAGAAGGAGACTAACATTGGGTTGCCTCGTCCATCGCAGCGCAGCCTCAGATTTTGTCCTTCTCGTGGGCTGTCGGGATACGATTTGATTTCAGCTGTTGGTTTGTCTGGGGAGAGAGACAGAGGAAGAAAGAAGGGAAACAAACCGCTGTCATTGTCACAACCAGATCCACCTTTGACCTTTGATTCGGTGGTGGAGCATCTGCTTTGCATGCAGAAGGTCCCAGGTTCAATCCCCAGGTAGGGCTCTTGTCTGAAATCCTGGAGAACTGCTACCAGTCATTGTAGATCAGGGATGGGGAACCTGTGGCCCTCCAGATGTTATGGGATCCCTCCAGCAACCATCATAGAATCACAGAGTTGTAGAGTTGGAAGGGACCACAAGGGCCATCGAGGCCAACCCCCTGCAATGCAGGAATCTTTTGCATCTCATGCTTTAGCGGCTGAGCTATCCCAGGTCCTTCATGGCCAGGGATGCTGGGAGTTGCAGTTCAACATCTGGAGGGCCACAGGTTCCCCCTCTGTGTTGTAGACAATATCAAGCTATATGGACCAGCCGTCTATCTTATTCTATGGCAGCTTCCCTTGTTCCTAGGGGATGACTGCCATTACCACTTCCAAATCCTTAGCTCAGCCTTTACCAATCAGTTGCCCTCTAATTTTTACCATATTGGTCTGAATATAGGCTGCATTTCCTCCCCCCAAATCTGGCTTGTATTAAACCTGAGTGCAACCAACTGCTTGTGCTTTCCTAGATAGAGAGGACATACAGTGGTACCTGGGGTTAAGTACTTAATTCATTCCAGAGGTCTGTACTTAACCTGAAACTGTTCTTAACCTGAAGCACCACTTTAGCTAATGGGGCCTCCCGCTGCCGCCGCGCCACCGGAGCACAATTTCTGTTCTCATCCTGAAGCAAAGTTCTTAACCTGAAGCACTTTTTCTGGGTTAGCGGAGTCTGTAACCTGAAGCGTATGTAACCCGAGGTACCACTGTATAGTGCGGACCATATTTGGGGGCGGCTTATATCCAGACCAAAATGGTATTTATTTATCTGTTTAGGTGAGCAATATTGTGAAAACGGGGAGTTTTCACAATAAAACCTAGATTAAAAACACACATATGAAGTACTGTAGTGCACAACCCAGTCTCTGAGTGATAAGATACTTTGTGGGTTCCTCAGCTTACCTAGGGTTCAGTTCCTTGGAATGATAGTCAACAGAGATGGTGTTGCTTTTTTGCTACAAGGTTCTATTAACACATATATACAACCTGAGCATAGAATGGAGGGACTCACAGCATTAACACTCCAACAGAGCTTTCTTCCCCATTAGCGTTCCAGGGAAGCCCCAAGTCCCAGCTCTTGGGTCTAGTACAGAGCATGGGGGTATCTCTGTGTCTCCAGCTTCCAGCATCAGCCCAGCTCTCAAACACAACTTTCTCATAAACAGCTCCCCCTTGGCCTATGCTCTCCATCCTAGGATGATGCAGCATCCAGCCAGGTGAGCTGAGAAAAGAACCACCCATTTGTCTCTATGGCAACAGAGCAACCACTTTGGATATGGTAAATGGCAGTACTTCTGGCCAGCCAAAGCCATTACTTTAACAAAGGAACTGGTTTGGCTGGTTCATCAGACTCTTCTGCTGGTTTCTAAACATCACTGGATATAGGATCACAGCATCATCCAGACTGACCACAAATACATTTTTTAAAAAAACCCTACTGTTCTTAATATGCGCAACAGAACAGCTCCCAATTCACCAAAGACCAATTGAGGAAATACCAACTGAGGAAATACATGGACGACCATGAAGGAAGGGTTTTTAGAGAGAAAAGTGTTTTGATTAATACTCTAAATAGAAGAGGCCCGTTGCCTCAATGGCATGACAGTCTTTCCGGCATATGGAGCAGCAAGATAATAAGGACAGAACAGATAACTAGAGCATGAGAGATGAGATTTCAGAAGAAGATGAATATCTGAGGAGCAAAAGGCCCAAGGAGAAGAAGGCGTTTAAAGCAGAAGCAGAGATGAGGAGCTAGCAAGGGCCTAAATCCATGAAGAAACTCAAAAACACAAATAAAAGCTTAGTCAGATCCACTAATAGAGAAGACCATAGTGACCCATGAATCAATATATTTCTGAGGGAAACAATAAACGTATTCATTTACATATATATTATATAGCTCTGTAACCTTAATTGTATTTTATTGCTATTGTTTTCCTCTGCTTTTTGATATTTTTTTTTGTATGTAGTCTTTTTCTTTTCCCCCTTTCCTTTCCTTTTCCTATTTACCGGTAACTCACTGTAATACTTTCAATAAAATATGAAAATAATAATAATAGTAACAACAACAACAACAGAGAGGAGGGCCCTCGTGATGCTCCGCAGGCCACACTCCCTCCCCAGCCGCACCCCTCTCTCCAGGCACAACCCTGGCTGGAATGCTTCCTTGCACTCTTGTTTGTCTAGAAGAAAGACAGAGAGGTGTGTTTGTGTAGAAACTAGCCTAGTGTGCAAAGGTGAAACTTACATTCATTGCTCCGCCTACTTTTCTCTCTGGCCCCGCCCACCACTGGCATGTGACCCCTTGAAGGTTGCCTAGAGGGGAATGTAGCCCTCCCTGCCCCTGCACGAACAGGAGCTGCAAAAGTCAATTAAGGATCTCTCTCTCTCTCTTTCTGGTACAAGGAGGGCTGATAACCTTTCTGGTTGGCCTGCAAAAGGGACCCCTTTCACAGAAGGGCATTTGTCCCTCATTATCCTCTTCAACCCTCTCTAGCAGTACTGTTTTTCCAGAAAAAGAGGTGCCGGAACTCACCATGAACACCGCCCTCCTTCTCTTAGAGTAGCAATGGCGTGCGAGAATCGAGTTCCGTCAAGTTCCATCTGAAAAAAGGCCTTGCTCTCTAGGTCCACCAAGGCTGGTAGCCCAGATCTCAGGTGAGGAAAAAGGCCTTTTCCAGCTCTGCTACTTGACATCTTTGCAAGTTGGGGGTGAGGAACCCAAAACACCTTCAGATGTTGTCAGGCTCCCAAAGCCCATCAGTCCCAGCTGGCATGACCAATGCTCAAGAGAAACAAATGGGCATTGTGGAGTCTAAAAACATCTGGAGGGCGAAATATTTCCCATCTCTGGCAGTGCTTTTTTTCTGGGGGTACTCAAGTGTATGGGCACCTTTTTCCACCAGCGTGGGGCTTAACTGTAACTACTTCCTGGTGAGTAACCACACCTTTTTTTTCCCTAAAAGAAAAAGCACTGAATTCTCTGGTATAGAAGGCAGAAGAGGACTCCAGTTCCCATCTGCCTCACCAGCATGGCCAGTGGTCCAGCAATGTATAAAGGGCTCCAGGCTTCCTACAGTTGCAGCAGGAGAAGCCAGGGCTGGGGGACCTTTGGGCTCTCCAGATATTGCTGGACTCCAGCTCCCATCAGTCCCAGCCAGCAAGGTGAGGATTGATGGTGAAGAATGATGGAAGCTGGAGTCCGACAACTTCTGAAGGACACCAGGTTCCCCATCCCAGATTGTTTTCTTTAGTTATCTATTAATACCTTTACACCCCAACTTTTCTCCAAGCGGTGCACACATTCCTTCCCCTCTCCATCAACAACCCTGTGAAGTAGGTTAGGTTGAAAGGCAGTGACTGCCCCCCCAAGATCACCCAGAGAGCTTCACCAGCAAGTGGGGATTCGAACCCTGGTCCCCCAGGTCTTAGCTCAGCACTCTAACCACTCTAATATTATCCCAACACTCTAACCGCTGCCCAACACTGTTGAGGTACCAGGGATTGAACCTGGGACATGATGCTCGCAAAGCAGATCCTCTCCCGCTGAGCTATGTCCCTCACTCCTGGGTTCTAGCATCAACCAGGTTGGGCCACCTTCATTTCCTTTGACCCCCACCCACCCACTCCATTGCCCACAGCTCACGTACAGAAGACTGCTAGCTTCTGGGAGGTGGACTTGTCGGAGTTCTGCAGGGACTCATGGTCAACTGTGCAGGTGACCTCCACGCCATTGTCTTCTTTCCCGACGGTGAATTCTACGCGGCTGGTGACCGTGAACGTCTTCCCGTTAGCATCTTCTTCCACTTCCGAAGGTTCAGCTGTTTGGGGGAAGATGGAGTAAGAAGGGCTGAGTGGCCACAGGGAACTGTGGCAAAGAGAACAGTTTGGATTCTTGAACAAATGAAAGAATCGTTCCTTGGTTCATCCAGGCTAAGTCGCCTGGAAGCAGTTTTTGACTCACCACAGGTGATTAACCACCTGCCTTTCAAGTGATTGATTCAGGGGGCAGGGGACCCCGAATTGTCAGAGGGGCAGAGCTGTCCCGTGGCCTCATACCTGAGAGCAGCTTGTCCCCCTTATGCCACCGGAGCTCAGCAGCCGGCTTGCTGCCGGAAGAGAAGCACGTCAGCTGGGCCACGTCTCCTTCTTTAAGAGGATCGGAGTAGCCAGAGATCTGGGGTTTTTGCGGGATTCCTGTGAGAAGGGAAAGAAACCTGGGACACTGAGGACTAGCGACTTGGTTGGAGAATCCTCAGCTACGTAGCAACCCTCCAAGACGCTGGAGATGGAGGGCAGTAACACACAGGCTTAGTGTCTAGTTAAAAAAAACCCATAAGCAACCATCGGCCGAAATTCTCTGCAGGAGTGGAGCGGGACCACTCTATCCTTTCGCATTTCTATGGTGCAACCCCTCTGTAGTTCCCAGAGGCAGACTGTGCTTTTGGCTTCTACCTCCCAGCAGCCCTCCCAGCCAAGGACCCTTGAGGTTGCACATCAGGTCTAGCCACCCTCCTCTCTCTGCTCTCTTTTCACTGTCCCTTAGTAGCTCCATGATTTTTTTTTTTGGGGGGGGGGTGTCCCTAGACTTAGCACCCACTCCAGGAGGCCTCCTAACCTGGAAGATACAGGACATGCAAGCTAAGAATTCCCTTAGGCTGCCACTGAAATTCCTGGATGCTCTTGGAGAAATGGAAACAGGAGTGTGGCTAGGGCAGGAGGCCCTCTGCTAGGCTTGGGCATGCTGGCCCCTGCCTGCCTTCACTACCCTCTGGCACTGACTGGCCTTGCCACCCCCTCCCTGCTCCCCTGGCCTCACCCAGCACAGTGACGATGGCCTTGGCAGTCCTCACAGGCATGGTGAAAATGGAACAGGTGTACTCGCCCTCGTCTGCCAGGGTCGCATTGTCGATACTGATGGTCAGCTCGTTGGGCGTAGACCTCTCCAGCTGGATGCGGAGATCTCTCAGCGCTAGGGGAGCAGAGAAAAAGGAGTGTTGCAAAATGGGTGAGTGAGGTTGCTTTAAGAAAAGCTAAAATAGCACATGGTAATGGTTTCTAATACTGAAATTGAGGATGCCCTGTTGGAGAAACTCACCTTTCTTTTTTCTGCTTTTTGTGAGACATGAAACACAAGAGCAGTCAAGTACAACATTCCTAGAGTGAACATGTTTACACATGGAGAGGAATGTTTGTTCATCCAGCAGGTAAACTTCCTGTTTCCTTCTGGGCTGGGACAGACTTCCTCTGCATGTGACATGTGACTAGAGGTGGGCGTGGCCTCACCTGTGCAGGTAATGACAAAAGCACAGGGCAGGGCAGCCACCTTTCTCTTTTTTTGACTACATGGATCGAAGAAGCAACATCTGCTTAGCCAAAGATGCTCTCTTGGCCAGCCAAGAGAGGACAGGGACTGTCTCCTTATGAGATAGTTTCCAGGTGTATGTTACTTTTCTAAACTAAGTCTGCCTTCTGGGATCCGATTGTGAACAGAACGTGAGTAAATTCTTTTTATACTTTTATAGAAGACTGTGTTGTGTCTTATCTTTTATAAGGGAATAAGGGGAAAATACCAGGACAGTTATTATAAAGGCTTTAGCGAGCCTGAGCAAACGCATCCGCTGTAAGTTTAAAAGGGGAATGTTACTCTGCTAAATTGTGAAACTTGTTAACACAAGTTGGAAAGACTATAATCAAATAATATACAGTGGTACCTCGCAAGATGAATGCCTCGCAAGACAAAAAACTCGCTAGACGAAAGGGTTTTTTGTTTTTTGAGCTGCTTCGCAAGACGATTTTCCCTATGGGCTTGCTTCGCAAGACGGAAACGTCTTGCAAGTTTGTTTCCTTTTTCTTAACACCGTTAATACAGTTGCGACTTGACTTCGAGGAGCAACTCATAGAACGCGGTGTGGTAGCCTTTTTGAGGTTTTTAAAGACTTTGGTGATTTTTGAAGCTTTTCCAAAACTTTCCCGACACCGTGCTTTGCAAGACGAAAAAAATTGCAAGACGACAAAACTCGCGGAACGAATTAATTTCGTCTTGCGAGGCACCACTGTATCCTCTCCCGCATCCCTGAACATCCCTACACTTTTAAAGCCTGATATATTATTATTATTAGCTATTTAATGCCCCAAATAGGCTTCTATGAAATCCAGGAAAAAAAGCTATAAAGGTGGTTTCTCAGTAACTTCCTCTCTTGGAAATGTTGTAGTCATAATTGCCTATGGTAGTCTCTAAGTTACTCACCACAGAATTCATAGCTACCACGATAACATGAGATAACTGAGAATAGTTATCATTAGAGGCAATGGGCTGCATTAATTTCAGTAGTTCTACTCCAACTTACTTGGAGGAGGGAAGAAAGTGCCTCTTTGGAATATGCAGAAAATATTTTTATTTTTTAAAGAAAGGAACCACAGAAAGAGGGGGGAGGAAGTCAAGTTTTGAAATGTTAAAATGACTGCAAAATTATTGAAATGCATAAAACTGAAAATCATAAATATTTTTTTCCTACAGCTTTTTGGAGACAGTACATTCTGATGGTGCGTGCAGTGATAAAGTGAAATGGTAAGAGATGAAAGAGTTCTAACCATTACACAATACTGCTGTTCAATGACAATAATGTGATAGGGAACCTGTGGCCATCAAATATGGTTGGACTCCAACTTCCATCAACCAGTGATCACAGGGATGATGGGAGTTGTAGTCCAACGGCATGTGAAGGTTCACTGGTTCCCATTCAGGGAGGTACAGAATCCTTACTCTTTGCCCTTTTTAAAAAGCAAGTCAAAAGGTTTCTTTCTTCCAGACAGCCTGTTGATCTCCACATTTTACTCCCTTCTGTTTTTATGGTCCTGACCAGTGGCTTTAAAATTCCATTTTAACATTGTGAGTTATCAACAGTGTTTTAAAATTACTACTAAAACACTATTAACAGCGTGTTCATGCATGTGTGCTTGCCTCCCCTGCAATTTACAGAATTAAAATCAATATACTTCCCCCTCAGATATGTAGGACTGGGCTTTTAATCAATAAATCATATTTCAGATGACAGCATCTCTAAAATTCACCAGATTAGCTCCATTGTCCTCAGCTCTGGGGCATCCACAGCAAATCCGACTACTTGATCTGTTGCAAATTTATCTTACTTAGACATTAAATATATAATTTTAGCCTGCTCATCACGAGAATCAGATATATGGACCTAGTGAGTTTCCTCCTGGCACTCACATTATCATCTTTTAGGTGTTAAGCAAATGCATTTTCATTTTCTCGGTCTTTAAAAAATTGCTTTAAAAAAAAACTTTTATTGCAAATGCCGTAGTCTCATGGGAAACAAGTTGGGCCTTTTGTGTTTATTTAACATTCCGAATACTGTATTTTTGCTTTATCTGAATTGGTTAGCACAAAATGACTGCTGAAGTTGCAGGGTATAAATTATGGAAAACAATAAGCAGCAAACAAGCAAACAAATTGCGTTGCGCTTGTGACACATTGACAGCTCGGAAAGGGGGGGAAAAGGCTGATATGTTAAATCTCCTCTTGCTCTTTTTGACTGTTTGTGCTGCTCTTTCGGCTGAGAAATACCCAAATTTTTATCGGAAAAATTTATATTCAGTAGTGGCAGGGAGAACCAACTCCCTTCCAGCTGGAAAAAAAAATGTGTCTGTGTTGGTCATTTGGAGGCAATTCTGAATCGCCGCAGGTGAGCAGGAGACTGAAAATACACATGCCTGTTTTATGGATTCTCCCCAGACTTTGAGGGCTTTAGAGGAACACTGTTCTCTGTGCTGTATCATTTACCTGGGTTCACTGAGGTTCCAAGGACATAAGCTAAAATCTTCTCTGCTTATCAAGGACAGTCCTTATTTTCTGCCTCCTGTTTCTGGTAATTCACCAGCTCTGTTTTCGCCTTCAGGGGATGCCTTGCTAAGAGGTTATGAATACAATTTCTGCCTTGCCTGACTACCGAGGCCTCATGCTTGCAAATCTCAGCCTTAAGTGGAAATGACATTTCCAAGCTTGCCTGCTGCTGTGGGAGGGGGAAAGGTTTGCAAGGAAGGCATTAGGACCTTGCCAGGTTCCTTATGGTGGCAGCAGAGTCCAAACTCAGAACTGGGCTGATGATGCGGAGAGTAAGGTAAAGGTAAAGGGATCCCTGACCATCAGGTCCAGTCGTGCCCGACTCTGGGGTTGCAGCGCTCATCTCGCTTTGTTGGCTGAGGGAGCCGGCGTACAGCTTCTGGGTCATGTGGCCAGCATGACTAAGCCGCTTCTGGCAAACCAGAACAGCGCATGGAAACGCCGTTTACCTTCCCGCCGGAGCGGTACCTATTTATCTACTTGCACTTTGAGGTGCTTTCGAACTGCTAGGTTGGCAGGAGCAGGGACCGAGCAATGGGAGCTCACCCCGTGGCGGGGATTCGAACCGCCAACCTTCTGATCGGCAGGTCCTAGGCTCTGTGGTTTAACCCACAGCGCCACCAGCGTCCCTTCTGATGCGGAGAGTATATGCCCATATATATATATATATATATATATATATATATACACACACAC